GTGTGTGTGTGTGTGTGTGTGTGTGTGTGTGTGTGTGTGTGTGTGTGTGTGCATATGTAAGTGCGTGTCACTGTGCATGCATCTGTGTGTGTGTGCATCAGTTTGAGCCCACATAAGGGGTGGGGGCCCGGGGGTATCGATGCTGGCTGGGTGGACGTATGTGTGTGTTCTCCATCACTTGGATCATGCAGTTATTTGAGAAATAATCACTCAAATTATCAATAATTGATCTTATAATTACCAAAATAAAAACACATCTACCAAGGATAAAAAGTAGGGAAAACAAACACTTAATGTATGCATTACATAACTGACATACCTTTATTCTCATTGTAGTCAGTAATTACAGAGTCTCAGACAGAGGGACGATTTTTGCCTCTCAGTCAGTCGTTGATAAACTTAAACTAATATGTACATGTGGTTGACACACATCATTAGGTTTTAGTAAAAGTATGACTAAATTATTTATTATTTGCATAAATATTTGACTAAATCGAAATTATTTTCTTAAATACATATTTAAGATAATAAATGTAAAGTATCAAAACTGACCAACTCTTTCAGCTTTATAGCTTGTCAACCTCAAAATCCTGAAAGATTTACAACAAGCAACATGTAAAATATATTCCAGATTAGCCTCATAAAAAAATATACTGAAAAAAACCCAGGGAAGTGTTGATAAAATAATATACAAAAAGCAACTCCCAAACTCTCTCGAAATAAGATAAGAAATATGAAATTCAAGATAGAAAGATTGGGTAAGTTATAAATGAGACACAATCTTATAAGCTGATTTAGAAAATTATAGAAATAAGAGCGAAAAACAAGCATTGGCTTATATTGTCACATTCAACACCAATGGTTAATACTGAGGTGGGATAAAAATCAACATGGAGGAATCAGCAGGCATTTCTTTTTATCAACAGGAGTTCAACAGTTGTGTTGGCAGCAAACACAAAAAGTTCAGTGGAAGACTAGGATTTAAAAAATCCATTTTAACCATCATTATTCAATTTAATTATGATGGAAATAGTAAAATAGATCAGATAACAAAGAAGAGAATAAAAAAATCAAAAACTGCAAACACATATCTTCCATCCCTCCTCAGTATATTTGTACTAGTCCAAGATCGAGGGCTCAAAACATTTAAAATACTTTCTGGAGTATTCAAAAACACATATTATGTGTGATATTGTGGTGAAATCGTGCACTCATCAAAACAATGAAGTCAAAGAAACCACAATTTTTCTGTTTGTTGATCGATTCTTTTGGGGGGAGCATGTCACCATTTCTGTACAGATTTTACTAAAAAACTTGATCAAAGGCACAAAAAAAAAAGGTAAATTTTCAGTTTCCAAGGGCACTACAGCTTTGGAAGTCACCTAACTTTAGTGGCAATTTTCTCACAAATTTTACCTCTGAAACCAGGTGACCTCCTGCCTCCTTCAATCAGAAATATTTCCACTCCTATTCAAGATAAATAGGTACTGTTTTCATCAATACCAAGGCAAATTCATAGGCTTTAAGATTATACCAATAGCTCCATTTCTTTAAAAATTAATGAGCACCTAATTCCAGCTTGTCGTGACATATTTATCTAGAACAGAGAAATTTAGGCTAAGCTATGCAACTTTCTTACTTCGGGACATGATATTTTTGGTGAATTTCAGATATAAACTTCTTACAATTTTTTTTGATCAGTGAAGATTTGTTCCTATGCCATAATTGAATGTGTCAATGTCTATAAGTTATAAAAATGAGCAGCTTTACAGTATTCATGCAAGTAGAATAACCTTTCAAGAGAAATCAAGTCCAGCATAATTCCAATCTCTGTTTTTAATCTTACTTGAGATGATGTTGGATATCTATTTATAAGGTAGGAACAAATACTCATACAATCACTGCTAAGGTTGACCAAGGCCGGACCTCCAAATTACACCTCAATGGACTGACTGAACCCAGTGTGTGGAGACGCCTGAAAAACCTCCCAAACGACCAAAGTTCATGGATATTTCATAAGGGATTAGGTTCAGCATGATACCAACTGAGCTATCAGCATGCCCATTTTGAGACATGTAGAAAAACAGAACAAAAGTATTAAATCTACAATACATCTACACACGTATAAATAGATTGTTAGAGAGAGATTGAGAGAGAGAGAGAGAGAGAGAGAGAGAAAAAAAGAAAAAGAGAGAGAGAGAGAGAGAGAGAGAGAGAGAGAGAGAGAGAGAGAGAGAGAAAGAAAAAAGAGAGAGAGAGAGGAAAGAGAGAGAGAGAGAACAGAGAGAATATAATGGCTGGTGTATGTTCAATAACACTTGTATATGAAGGCAAAGACTAACAACCCTAAAATCAGTCTCTACTCATTCCAGTATATCAACGGCATTGCACAGGATTTGGTCAAAATTACCTACCCCTCCTACCCCAGAACTCGATATAACTTCATACAAGAAACAAAGCTATTTTTTTAAACATCACTCTGCAGTAGGACTGGCACCACTTGTAAACTGAAAACGACTTTTTCTGGAATGAAAACAACATAGACTCATACAATATATGTGACATCTTCAATTGAGTCTATTGTCACTCTCAATGTATGTTGACAGTAAAATTTGAATTGAATGCTCGTTGTGTCGCTCTTTCAGAAGGTTGTAAAATGTAGCTCTATCAAGACCATATTAATGACCTTGACTTGTAATCAGGTCTCTGCCCAATCATGTGAACAAGTATCAAATGGCAAAAAATTTTTTTTAATGTATAAAGAAGGCCTTCCTGCTGTTCTGATAGCTACTTAAGGGGTTGTGTTAGTCCTTAGCCACTCATGTAGATCATAGGAAAGAGGGGTAGTAAAGAGGGGAAAAAGAAAATACTAAATAATTTGTTGAGGTGATTACATGTATGTATATATATATATATATATATATATATATATATATATATATATATATATATATATATATATATATATATACATTTACATTGTATACTGGGTGCCTATCCAAAATTTTTAAGCTGAAAGTACAGCTAAGTCAGCATGAATATAATAATATGTATACATAAGTAAGTACAGTTACGGTCACGTAAAGAGGCTCTCAATTCACTACTGCAGGACTGGCCAAATCTGTGGCTTTTAAGAGTTTAGATCATGTCTCCATTTAGATCTCAAGGGTTGAAAACAATTGAATGTGTTCTTTTACAGCGTTATTGCTACTATAAAAAAAAGATTTTTAAGAATACATTCAGTCCATGTTATCAAACTGAACATTACATCTGTGCTGACAAAATTTATCAGATGAGAGAGACGTCCAATTCTAATTCAGAAGCTGCGTTGGAGTCAGTCACATAAGTGATAAAAGTTATGAACAAATCGTTTTATCTTCTGGCAGCACTCATATACATTTAGAGTATATAGTAAGGGTCTCTTGTACAAAATAAATCTGGCCACTCCTGCTTTAGCTTTCCTCGACCTACCCCATTAGAGAACAAGGTCAGTCATCACATAAAAGAGCAGCTCACAGTCGGACGGATTTACTCAGTTTCTGTGATTGTGAAGGTCAACACCAGACAAGCTTTACTTGTTTCCCTTTTTGGCACAAAAGTTGCTCGTAATAGCAAGTACAAAATATAATAATATATATATGAAGTAAATGAGAAAATGGACAAGATTTGTGATAAAAAGAGGAACCCTAACAGCAACAAAGTATAAAGTGTTGTTGTCATTCCTCCATTCAAATCAGTAGAAGTAATTTTTTACATAGATGAATATAGAAAAGGCCAGAATGCACCTCTCATTAATTTCAAAAGCAGAACTGGAGAATGTAAAGGAAACAATGTTTGCGGTAATAGGGCACATTTGGATAGAAAAACACTGGAGGAGATAAACATTTCCTAGTAAGGGTAATATCACAGACTCTATAAGAAAATAAATATGTAACAAAAAAACTACACTAATAAAGTAAAAACAGCATGAGAGAGAGAGAGA